TTAAAATATTTCGGAAAGGAAACTACCTCGCTATATTTTACAATAAAGCTTCACTATAAATTATATTTATCAACAAGTTACATTAATACAACTAAGCTTAATAAAGATACATAAGTTTGTTTTTCTCAATTTTATTTTTTTTATTCAACCGAATTTTTTCAAAAATAGAAAACAAAATTATTTTTATTTCTATAATACTATATTTAGATCATCAAGAAAATTGAGTCGAAAATTGTTCAATTTTTCCAAAGAAATACAACATTAGAATCAATACCCAAGTGACTTAAAAGAAGTCGTCATTCCTGATTCCTTGTGTTGGTCACTAAGCCAAAACAGAATGGAAGAAAAAAATAAATCCGATTGTCAATACGTTGAAATATATAATAATGTCTGTATATAATTTTTATCTACGTTTACAAAAAATACCGCAGAGGTTTCACATACTACTATATCTGCTTAGTCACCCATATTTGAATTTCCACACTATTTTCTGATCATATTCAACTATATGTGCATATATACGTCTATAACAAAGCAATGCTTTCAACAGGTTTTTGTATACTTGCCTTCCATTTTGTTTAGATTACTTTCTGTCGATTTAGAAAACGGAAAAGTCAGACAAGATGTATGAAATTATAAACAATTTTTGACATCGCTTTCATTATTGATAGTGAATTTATACCGAATATGGAAGTTTTAACTCAATTTACCTGACGTATTCGACAAAGCAGGAATGAATTTTTCTTTTTCATTTGTCTTGTCACTGCTGTTTTGGTTTTGAAACAAAAAAAAATCCCCAAGTAGGAAAACTTCCGAAAATTTTAATGTTGATATTTCGGTAACAGCTCAATAATCAAATTTCAGAGTTGAGTTTAGATGCAATTTTTTTTACCTACATTTGAAGATTTAATGAAAAAACGAATTAAACTCCTTAAATTCATGACACTGTCTTCAAAAAATGACTCAAAATACTAAAAGATAAATTATTATACGAAAATATTATCTTCAATTATCTAAAATATCTGAAAATTTCATTAACTCATTAAAAAACTTCATATAGTCTATTTTTGCCTAATTAGACCAATAACAGTTATTTCGTATTGGATGATATTCCTGATAACGTGTAAATGTACTGTACATGTAAATAAACGTATACAAATACAACCGTTCCAGACAAATCATGGTAAAATCCATTAGCTTATCTACAAATTCTACTATCAATAATTTATCTACAAATTAGATTAATTTTGTTATCTTACCAACACATCGTTCAATATCGAAATTTAGGAACGTCGGTTTTGTTTTTCCTGGCGATAAAAGAAAGTAAAATACTTTGCTACTTGAGTTTTACAATTTTTTTTCTTCTAAATTTTTAATATAATTTTAAACATTTTACTATTTAAATATAATTACAAATTCTCGAGTGTTTTATAAATATAAACAATACGATAATTATTGATTAAAAAGTTAGAAATGCAATAAAATTTTAAATATTTATTATTACATATTTATTTGAACTTTCAAGACCCAGTAGTTTTTCTCTACGAGCGTCTACAGCAGGGGTCGCCAAAGTGGTCGATATGGACCCCAGGGGTCGATGCG